GTGAACAAATCAACGTATCCACTGGTCTGTTGACTACAACTACCAGAGCTCAGACATTAAATGTACACAAATCCACATTAAGATCTGACCACTTCTTCAACTCCTGGCAGAATCAGTGGAGGTCATTCAGATTTAAGTAGTTGGCTATCCAGCATGGACAACTGGCAGCAGAAGGGGGGATAGGGAGGCCACTGTCCCCCTCCCACTTTTTGGACAGTTCTCCTACTTTTAGCAGGTCCTTTGATGGCTGATGCCTGATGGTTTCTTACATCCCCCCTTCCCACTTTGAAAATAATTACACCGCCGTTGACATGGACCTCTTTCTCTAGTTTTACGGTATCCACAACTCCTTACTGGGTTGAGATCAGAAGTTTGGGAAGGGTGATCCACAACCTTAATCATAAATTGCCCTTGAGCCATTTTCAAACTACATGTACTTCAACATCTTGCTGAAGCACACATCACCAGTACCTGTAAAAGATGACACCTTATGGCAAATGGCATACAATTCTGCTGGAGAATTTTCAGGTGATCTTTCTTCATGATTCTATTGTAACTGAAGAACACTTTATAGCAAATTAAATGGAAACGCTGCCCCTAGGGTGGGAAATTCTGTCACTTTAAAAGTAGCAACAATTCCCAGGTCTCTAGTGAAGCAGCCTGGGGAGGAGGCAGGGGTGGGGATACAGTTGATAACCCCTGGTGTTTCTTGTTTCAAAATGCAACAAGAATCAACAATTCACTGAATCCACAAAAGGGAATAAAAGATTTGTGGATTCACTACTCACTAGTTTAAAAAAGGAAAACTTGTCACATTCATTCGGCCTACGTACCTTGACCTGTTTGTATTTCTTCTTTGGGGCACAGTTCAAATCTTCATGTACTTTGTCCAGAAGCCAGATGAGAAACTCTTGTGCATCATGTTGGTCATTCCCACGGAACTGACCACTGTACTTGGACACAATGCGCTTGAATTCCGTGGTGTGCTGGGGCAGATACTGGCATGACCACACCGATTTCATCAGCAAAGCCAGCTGTTCGGTGACCTCCCCTCTAGTTCCAAACTTCTTGTTGTTTTTCTTGCTCCGACGCATGTCTTGGTGGTACTGCTCCAGGACAAAGTACTCAGCCAGCATGTCGGTGTTGCTGAGGCACTGGACGATGGCATTCATGAAGCACGTGTTGCCATGGTTCTGCAGCCCAGAGAGGCCGGGGACTTTGCCATTCAGCCGAACAGGGTTGGAGTTCACAGGCGACAAATGCACACCATGATTCATATTCAAGTTATCCAAGTCATCGTTTGTGTGAACACTTCTTGAGTCCTCACCAGAGTTTTGAGAATCGTCCATGCTTCGTATCTGCCTCATCATTTTCTGGATCAAGCTGCCAAAAGCTCGGAATGAAGGTTTACGGGATTTTTTCTTATGGGGGCTCATCGAGTTACTTGTGGAGATACTGCCATGGCTTCCTAAACTGTGCTGCTGGGGCGAAGAGAAACTGGACGTATTTGAAATCGGCGAGAGGGACCTCGCATTGTCAATCGAGACTCGCAAGTCGGGGCTGTTAATGTTTTGTCCGGTGACGTGCTCCTCGCTGTAACTCGTGGCATTGGGCCTGCTACCAGTCTGTGACGGCTGTAGTCCATGTTTTCGGAAACCCCCGGCTACGAAGTTCTCCCGCACATTGTGTGTCCTGTTGACCCCGTTTGCCGCACTTCTTGGCAAACTTGCAGTTTTCTGGGGCCAGTACTCCTGGTCATAATCGTATCCCCTCCCCTGCACGTACTCCTTTTCCCCCGCCCCTGTTCTGTATGGCCTAGGTAGCGTGGAGTCGCCTCGATAGGCGTAGGGTCGTGTCATGTTGGCATACTCGTCGTCCATGGTGTATCCAAGATGTTCTCGCCGGGAATCCCGGTCCCTGTTACGGATACACTCCACGTTTGCGAGCGGTGCGGCCGATTCCATTGCACTCATCTTGTGAACAAATGCTAGCCAAGGCACTGAACCTATGGCAATTCTCGATCCTGCTGTGCGTTGGGAGAGCCCCCCTGGGGCTTACCTGGCCAGGTCTTCCTCGCCATTAGCGCGCCACACGACTTCACGCTCCATTTGGACCAACCTCCACAGATAAACCCACCAGAGTTGTGGCAAAAAATTGATTCTACAGTCGGCGGGAGCACGTTTATAGTCGCTGCTGAAGCACGACCATCAAGCATAAAGTTGCGTTGAATGCCGCCCTCTACCGACTCAAGATAGTCAAGCGCTAGGATTATGCTTCAAAGAGGGGGTAATTGACCCGTCATTTGTTCAGACTTAGTTTTGACTTTTTCTTTTGTTTTTTTCCTTTTTTGTTATGGCCAAAATATGCAAATAAAACAAAGAGAGAACAATTGCGAAAAATAAAAGCCTACATTCAAGCCTTCTTTTGAACAATTCCATCAAAAACATGCCAAATTAAGACAAAAATAATATGTTAGCAATAGCAGCAGATCTAATTCAATGCCTTAAATTATAAAAAGAAAACGGGAATTTCATGAATGCTCATCCGATGTACAACCTCTGGCCTGTGGCAAAAGCAAATAACCTAACAAGCAAAAATACCTGGGAGACCATAAGAAAATTGTACGACTCATTCCAATCGCAGATGGTATACCTACAATACTGCCGCCGGATCGTTGTTATTCAACTTTTCTGGCGAATGGTTTACACATGAATACCATTGCCTTCGAAAACCTCCAGTCTTATGAATCTGAGAAAAAAATTCAATCAATATATGAGAGTTTTGAATTATGTAGATTCCAGTATCCTTCAGCAATTAAACCCCAAGCAAACTCTTTTTTACGGTATTCAAATTTATTATCAAGTATGTTTGAATGAGTGTTCACGCTGTGCAGATAAAAGTAGCTGCCCCAATTCCATCTTTCCAATCACACCTGCAAATAAACATTTAACTTTTAATCTACCTAAAAATTCTAGTTATGATTGTATTAATTATATTAAGTAACATTAAAATGAGATAGTTAACGTATTTTGATAAATTAATTGAGAATAGCCCACACCCCATAAACTATACAGGGCTCGAATCGGGCAGCACGGCCGTCCCACCAATGCAGAAGACAGCCATTAGAAAAGCCATGCTCCTAGAAATGAAAAACTTAGAATTAGGCCGGATGGATAAACTCAAATGTTGTCGATCAAAATAGTTACACTACATCGGTGTACAGTCTGCCACCTTGCTGGCCATAACAAATACTTTACGAACCAAAACGAGAAATAGGAATTTGTCATAAAGCGCTTTGAAAACGGGCTCGCAATACCCACATATACTAGATCGGCGACTCTACCTGTAGATTTGATTTGTGCAGACACAATAAATTCATATTTTCGGATCAGAAGAAAGCTCGACTTTCCACCACTTGTAGTTTTGATTAATTATAAGTGGGAGAAATGGTCCTCTGAATACTAGAAAAGCCATGTATTTTCAAAAAGGTCACCATTAAAGAATACAAGTCGCCATTTTCAACAAAATTAATACCGCCTTCACTTAAGTGAAACACAGGGTGAAAAATCATCCAAATTTCACAGAAACAATGATGAAAAAGAATCAAGTAGTAATGTGGTGTTGATCAAGCATTCAGGCATCGCCCCAATTCCCTGGTCTCCGGTGGCACATGGCATAATTGAGCGAGGAAATGAGCATGAGCATGTTTCCCCACCCCCGAGACGTGATCTTTTCTGTTGCTTTCATTTTTCCATACTGCTGTTAAGAGTGAAAAATCACCCACCATACAAAAACGCGGTTTTGATGAAATACATACTTCAGTTCAAAAGTTTGGACATATGATAAATTTGACCTGTAACAAAAGTACTTACATTTGGTTTTTTGTTGTACAGGTGGTGTGTATGAAAACAAGTTGAGCTGATTTTCCGCTGCATCTTTCCAATAATATTGGGTCCATGTTTGTGGCACGGTCAGTGTCGCGATCCACTGCCCCTAATTCAGGGAAGGTCAGCAAAATATCCCAAACTATTTATTGTTTCTCCAGGTGAGTACCAAATACACGTATTCTTGCCATACACTTCAGCAAAAATCCATTTGAAAAAGCTCATTTGTGTTTTGATGTGCCAATCAGTTTGGCACCCTGACTGAAATGGACATCATGTGGGTAAAAAATGTCAAGGGTCCTACAGATTTATAAGCGTAAAATTCTTGAAAGGTCCATTAACTCATTTTCTGACTCATTTTATTCGGTTGGTGAACATGTCATTACGGTTTTTATTAAATTACGGGAAGAAGTGTCAACATCTTCCAATGTTTTAATGAAAACTGCCACTGTGTATATTATTTTATATGTCTAATTTACCAACAGTGATTTTTAAAACAATATAGGGGAACAACCAATGCTTGGACAGAACCTTAAAATGGGGAACAGGTCTAAAATGAGAGTATGTACAAAGCATTCGATTATTAGTCACAAGTAACACTGCATTAACAATGAACTTTAAGCTCCATGTTACACACTGCCGAAAGCCTTTCTTTAATACATTTAAAAATAGACATTTTCATAATAAAACGTCCATGGAACAGAAAATGGTTCAATTCAGCTTTACAACTGCTGGTTGAATCCCACAGGAGCCATTTTAGACCTTCTCACAACCTCAGAGCCTGTCCCGCCCTTGCTTGAAATCTCAGCTGCCCAGTGACAGAATTATAGTAAAAAGATTTACTTCCCGCACACAGTTTCAATCAAATCAGGCAAATGATTTTGCTGTACCGTCACGATACTATGACTCTTTCAGACGTAACATGGAAATTCTGATTGAGCAGCACACTCAGCTATGTTTGCACGGCAGTCGTGCTAGGAACTGCTCCGCTTCACATGAGATATTACCCTTTCTTTTCATTAGTCCCATGCAACTAAATCTTGACTGCCAACTGCCATCAAATTACTGACAGACACTCTTTGCCAAGATGTTAGGAATCTCCACTACTCTTCCCAATTCACATGTACATCACATCACCTGAGCAACATGCACACGAAGCTATTCTAGTTAATCACTTTCCAATTACACAATAAAAAAGCCATCTTCCCCCTGTTCTTATGTGTTACACTCAGCAATCGCGATTTGCAAACCCCCACCTCTTCTAAATGAGGTTTAAAACGCAACAAAGTTTTGATTTAATATTCTCTTTGCACTCTTTGCAATATCCATTGACCATTTAGATTTAGAAAACCAATCTATTTAGGCAGACCAGTGCCATGAATATAAAAGTAATCTACGTTTGATTTATATCTGAATTTTACTTTTTTACTACCTGTTTGCAAAACAGTGATAAACTTCTAATGAACAATGAAGGAAAAGTTACGCTCACAGAAAGAACAAGAAAAAGATGACTGATAAAAAATGCTTAAAATCTATCACATCAAACTTTCGGTTATATTGCAATCCTGTTTAGATTTTATTGTATGTATTATTTTGTTCTGGCAAGTATAAAAACTTGTGTCCACTGCTTTCGCAGAAATTTTTTGAAACGTAGAATCACAGACTAGCAGTGACTCTTCACAATTTTTTTAAATTATTCAAACCCCAAAGGTTTTGAAAGCAAGACATTCTGAGTATTCAAACGTTGGTTGAAGTGATAATTGGGGTTTCTCCATGCTCTTTAATTGTCTTACTCACTTGCCTATCATTTTAGTACAAATATGTCTCTGACTAAACTGGTATGAAAAAGCTAAATGTCGCACAATTATGAGACTGCATTAACACGGATGATTTGGGAATGAATTTTGGCAAGTACAAACCAACATCGCAAACACTAATCCAAACTGCATGAAAAGAAAGAAGCGATGGCAATATTGCGACAATACAGAAATACTTTCCACTGCGTGTTCAGTTCTTACAAAATACCAACAGGCATGTAGTGTTAACTGTGAATTCACAGCACTAAAGTATGACATTCAAAAGCTTACAACAGATGAAATTATTACAAAGTTGTATGGAACCGTTCAAAACTCAAGTTTATGCCACAAAAAAGGAAAAGAAAAAACAAAAACAACAAAAGCAGCTACGATTTTTCTACGTTGCCTGAATCATGTCTACTTCTACACTTCAGTTCCGGAAGCAGACACGCACGCTGCAGCTCCAGAGTGTCTGGTGTTATCGGGCTCTTCCCCTGTCTCCCGTGCCTTCTTGTGGCGGCTCCGGCGACCGCCCTTTGACCCTTGACCCCCACCGTACCTCCCTGGCACATTGTCTGGGGGTTTGGGGCCTGGCGCCTGGCCACGCCCCTTACCCATCTTCTGCTTGTTCTTCATGACGGTCAGGGAGACGTGGGGGTAGGTCTTCGTGATGCGGCCCACAGCCTTCGTCCGACCCTCCCTAGGGAAAAACAAGAGCCATCGTGACTATTATCTCAGTTCTGAGCTTCAAAGCAGAATTCAGAAACATGGTTCCTAAACGAAAACATACAGTTCCAAGTTAAGGTTTTGTTTTATGAGTCAAACTTGAATGGACCAAAACACAGAGATGTACCTTTATGCATGCCTGATTGTATAATGGTCAGGTACCTGTGGACAATGTTGTGGTCGAGACCACTTAAGACCTTCACAAGACTACGCAAGACCAACACAAGACCTTCAGTCTGAATTCAAGTCAAAAGCTATCCAAATGAACTGCAACAAAAGCATTCCTTTGTCATTGTTCACTCTGTTACTTGTGACTGGTCTCGTGCACGGTCTTGTGTCTGGTCTTGCGATGGTCTTGACTACGACACCACCTGTGGATTTATGATTTCTAAAAACAGAAGCAGAACTTATTGATTGAAAGACTTTCCAACAAACTGCCCAGTAATATGCCACTGTGCATGCTATGCATGTGCTTCCTATTCCCTCTCTGCAGCCAACTATATCATTTCAATTTCATGTTAAAGTTGTGTAAATGTTTCAGGTAACTCAAGCATAATATTAGTAATACAGCCTACAGGTACATCTCCACCATCGAGTTCCTTCTGGTGTCCAAAGAAACAAACAGATAAAAACAGAGAGTGGACACGAACAAGCATTTCCCAAATCTGATGACATAATCATTTGTTGGGTTTACTGTGTTGACTCACCTGAACACCATGCGGCTATCTGCTCGAAGGAACTCTGGATTCTTGATGAATCGGAAGCGAACCTGTGCTTTATCTCCTGTCCGCAGGTGCTCCTTGCTCATGTAAATAATGGAGGCTGTTTGCCGGATGCTGCCAACGTGAACTGTCACGGTACAAGTACAGGAAGGGAAAAATATCATCTACAAGAATTCTTTAGTGCAGTCTGAGACCACACCTCGGAGTATGAAAACAAATTATGCCAACTATGCTTGCTGGCTAACAAATAAAATTCTTGAATAGCGCCAGGAGGCAAACAGGAGGTTCTTGATACTTCAATAGCCAAGTTCAAAGTCTCAATTCACATCTTAAAGGAGAGTTTTCTTTGATGCTCTTGCAACCGTAAGTTAAGCCAAGTGATTTCAGTTTGAAGCAGATGACTATAAATGCCCATGGCCAACTTGTTGAAAATATGGACCAATGTTGTAGTGTCTGTGCGAGACTGTTTTGCAAGACTGTAAGACATGGAACAAGAGACTAACACCACACACCTCTTTTCATAAAAGTTACCAATGACTTACTGAGACATTGGTCAATGGGTTGTTTCATGCATCAGCCTATTTTTCTGAATTTCTGCTTTTTCTCTGTATGAAGACTGGAAATCTCATACATCCAAATTCCGGATTCTTAAAATTGAGAGTTTGAACAACTGCAGCCTAGGTGTAAGACTCCAGGCAGACTTTACATCCAGAGTTTTTTTTTTGCAAAATCTGACTGAGCGCATCAACAATTGCAAAGATAAACGGCTGGTGCCTGACTGTCACGTCACCCTCCGAGGTGAGCCTGTGACTCACCCATGGCTTGGTAGCGGGTGCTTATCGTCGTTGGGTGGTGCAACACCAGAATCTCCCCCTCAAACTCCCAGCATGCCTCTGGGTTGCTTTGCGAGGACACCATCACCATGCCCTTCCTGATGTGGGAGCGCTTGATTTGCTGTCAAGCAAACAATCCAAATATGAACAGATATCGAGATGAAAGAAACAGATGTCCAATCATCGCAGCTTTTGTCAAATACTCAGATTCCCAGTTCACTAAATGCTTCAATATTGGGACTTTATTCTCATGTTGATGATTTTTGTCTCATTTTAACTTTAGTATCTTCAACTTTAGTATTTTATTTATATGTTATTTATTACAGATTTGGTCTTTTCATCCAGGGCAATATGCATCCCTTAGGTGTAGCAAGAAGTACTCCACTTCAAACCAATCAACATTACCAACTTTCCATGTGAGGCATACTCCACGAGCAAATTTTATGCTGCTGGGCAGCAAACACTGTTCACCAACTATGCTAAGTGCTAAGTAAAATTAGCCCAGGACCAGTCACAACAAATGATAAGTGCATGGCATTTTGACTGGTTACCTCCTTTGCTGAGATAGTATTGTCTTGGCCTAGCAAAATGCTTCCCAGCTCTTGGAACTTTGCCAGAGTGCATAGGAAAATAATGGAGTAGAGAGGGCGCTCAAAAAGTGTGTAATAACAGCAATGGTGCAGTCCTTACCTTCTTCAATGCAAAGGATGCTGTCTGTCCTCCCTTGACCATCCGTACAGGCATGCGCTTCCGATGGATGCTCTTGACTACAACAGGTTGGAAGTTACCTTGGGGGTCAGGGCCTAATAGTAACGTGTCGTTGAGGCGGATCAGTCCCTTTAAGGTTGTTCCTGACACGACAGTTCCTACCCCCTGAATGAACACGCAAGAATTACAGACTGCTCAGGCATGTACAAGTCTGGCTGTGCAGTGTTGTTACAAGATGAACACGATGTAACTTTTGTTTCCAGAGATGTAAAATACAGAAGCTGCTGCAAACTGCTTGCTAGCTACAGTGACCTAAACTATACAAAGTGGAAAAGCCAGAGGGCCTGACGTTTTGATCCAAGCAGAATCTTCATGAAGGGCAAAAAACTGTGCAAGCAATCTGCAATATCACAAATGAAATATGATGCTACAAACCCGAACCCATAAGCAAAAGTCCAGTGAACCCAAGATACCTAGCATACAATATACCAAGCATACACAAGTTGGACACATGCACATCAAAACAAACATAACAATAACATTAAAACCTAACCAAATATGGCACAAAAGATGTTTTCCCTTAAATATGGCTAGTTGCAAACTGCAATATGGGCATAAGTTGAATTTTGTATTGTAAGTGCCATTCAAAGTCCCTCGAGGTTCAGCTACAGAGTATTTGAATAAGATCGCCCTATGTTTCCATCACATGAAACATCAAAAGATAAATCAAGCATGTAACCACTGTACAGTGACGATGTGCCTGCAATCAACTACGGATTATCTTTGTTTATACAATGCAAGACTTACTGGTACTGAGTAAGTTTCATCGATCTGAAACTCTGCTGGTTCAGTGACGTCGCAATGCATTCTGGTAGACAGCAGATTGAGGAAACTCTTCAGCAAGGGCAGGTTCTCACCAGTGACGTTAGAGACTTGAAAGATTGGACACACCCTGAAGACAAAAAAAATACACATTCGTAAGAGATGATGATAAGAAATAACAAATGTTTATAAGTGCAATGGTAAGAATAATTTCATGAGGTGACAGACTGATTGCTCCATTTCAAACTTCAAAACTGAGTGGACTGGAACATTTAAATTGTCACCAAATGAAAGTTTTTCATTGACGATGTGAAACACTCATGCCTAAACACACTTTGTGTTCAAGTCCTCATTTTCCTTTCTCTGTCCGGAACCAATTGTGACACAAAACAGTCAAGTTCAAAATCAATTAATTCTTCAGATGTTCCTGGGTGTTTGCTCTTGTTGTTTGACACTTTCAATTTGTTTCTTTACTCGAGTGTAGAAATTTCTTTGAAGGACTCGTACTCCACATTTATCCTAAGCCATGTCGCATTGTGTGTGAAGAGCTGCATGGCAGCGTGCATTTTGGTTTGAAACATAACAACTTCCTGCACAATTATATCTGCGCTGTTTTTTTGTGTACAAGCATGCCATTAATCAGTCCAAGTATCATGTGATCTGAAAGTCACCAATCAGATGAAGGGGATTTATTCAGGTGTTGTATAATGCCCATTCTCTCATCAAAAGAAGGTTCCTCATAACATAACTACACCAAGTTTCGCAATGCAGGTTTTTCAAACTGCAGTCAGTTCATATAAGGACTTACTCTTCCCCCTCCAACTGACTGGTAGCAAAGAACCCTATGAAAATTAAGGTTACATGAGTACCTTTCTGAGCTGAAGTTGGTGGCTGCCATGATAACATCATCATGATTGTTGACAAGCACTGGGATTTTACGGCAGCCCGGCGACTTGAGGATGCGCTGCAAAAGCTTCATGGTCTCCTGCAGGACATTGGATGGGCACATGTCGATCTTGGTGACAACAACAAAGACGGGTACACTCAGGGCAAGGGCCAGGCCCAAGTGTTCCTTGGTCATGCCAATTATGCCTGCATTACTGCCCACCTGTCAGATAAGAAAACAGAAGGCAGTTAAGTCACTTATAGATCATTCTGCTTTACTGTGTAGTGAGCAACTTTGCTAAACATTATTATCATGTTAACAGAAGCTCTATGAAACACAGCCCATTTCAAACCTGCATGATTTGTGTCATACTATTTGCCACTAATATTCTAGCCCTAGTAGAGGGATAGTTTTCCATTATATAAGTTTCCACAGTTTGCCCTAAAATCATCAGAAATGTTTGCAGGGAATTATTTGTATTCTAAAGAGTCCATGGAAACAAATTTATTTTAGGATCCCTGTCATAGAACTGGGCCCATTCAACTTTACTTTCACTATTTCATTCCTACATACGAGAACACTTCTCAATCCCCTCTCTCTTCAATTTGAAGCTGAAAATTATCATAAACTATGGATTCTCCATCGCGGCCTTGTCTAGTAGGCCACAAAAATGACAAACTCCCCAAAAATTACGCTGCAGAACAGGCTCACTTCTTTTTCCTGTCTATGACAGCAATTACCATGAGCATTCCAAAGTCCGGTGCATGTCCCGTCATTCCAAACACTGTCGTCTTCAGGTACTTCTCATGACCAGCGAGATCAATGAAGGTGATGACCTTAGATGACATTTCACATATTCTAAGCCAGTCCAGGTTGCCCCCTATCAACAGATAAACCAAAAGAATGAAGGCATTCAGAATGCAATCAGTAAATCAGAAACAGTTCACATATTTTTCCAGTCACTCTTGGGAAAACTGGACATTTCTTGAGAACAGGTCATCTGATGTCAGAAAAAGTGGTGTCAAAATTTGGGCAAGCTTTCAGTGAAAAAAAAACCAAACTAAAAAAAGTTTGATGCAACTAAATGTGAAAATATGCTAAAAGAGAAAATACACTAGGGTGGGATAGTGGTAACTTTGACTGTAAGACATAAAACATTACAAACAACATATTACAAAATCAAAATAAAACTATAGAAACTGCAACCTATTACTGTGTCACTATATTATACAAATGAAATGATGGGGCAAAGTAATGAAACACTTTTTGATATCTGAAGAAAAAAATCAAAACACAGCAACGTGTGCATTATTCAGACAATCTAGAAGCCAAATGTGTACTTCCTACATTTCATGACAGCCTGGATGCTACTGTTTCAGCTTACCATGGGAGTCAGGCTTATTGACAATGTTGCCCTTGCTGTCAAAGCCAAGGATGTCATTACCCACACTGCTGGTTCGGCCAGACTCCACCTCATGCTTGTGGCGGAACAGCTTCTGCCGGGCCAGTCCTCGTCCATTATCCAGCTCTGCATGGGTTAACACACCCAGAAGGGTACTCTTCCCTGCATCCACATTCCCTACAACTGCAACACTTCAGAAGTGGAGGGAAAAAAAGAGATTTTCAAATCAAAAGGAGGCTTTAAAGGATTCTATTACGTGTGACTTGATGCCCACTGAAACTTTACATGTACACCATATACCAGTAGAATGTGCCAGTTGTGGATTTTGCAGAATGGCTCCAAGAAGAAATACACGGGAAGTTAGGGTCAACAGGAAAATGAGAAAGAATTGAAATTTACTCTGGTTATAGTTTGAGTCATCTTCCCCCAAACATCCATGAATAACTATTCATACTCGACCAACATGTGTATCTTCTCTTTAGTGTGAGCGAAGCAATGATTTATAGTTTGACCAAACCAGAATCTACGTGTTGAGTCATACTTCCTCAAAGAAAAACCATAAATTTAGAATAAGAGAGTTTATTTCATTTTTTTTAATCATTTGAACTGCATGTATTTATACTAACAAAACATGGTAAAATTTTCTTCAATCTGAGTGAAACAAAAAATTGTCTGTACTTTGATAAAATTGGAATGTGCACGATGGGTAAGTCTGCCTAGAAGATAACCAGGAGATGATGACAGTCAGAAGTGATGCTAACTTGTTAGAAGAACCAAGCTGAAACTGAAAGAAACTGAAAGAAACTGCCGCAACTTTCCACTCACCGCACTTCAACGAAGTCCCGCTCATCGGCCATCTTTCTGACCAGGAAGTCGGCCAGCAGACCTGTCTCAACCTGCCTCTCTCTGAGCAGGACCGTATCAGCCTCTAGAGACCTGGCCAGGCAGTCCAGGGTGGCAATGGAGGCATCCAAATCCTCACGACTCAGGCCTCCCTCATTCCCATCACCTGCAAACACACACACACATTTAAACAAGGGTCAGAAAAAGTAAAACTAAAAACTACCACTGTGCTAAATACATGAATTTGATCGAAAACTTTGCACTGGATGATGTCTAGACATGCATAGATTCCCTGTGTTAAACTGCAGATCATGTTTAACAAGCTCCAGCAAATTCTGTCTGTAGTACTGTATAACCATCTAGATACTTATCCTCATACATGAGTGATCGCCTTGGACTTTGCCCACACAGGCTTCAACTAGTCCGTGGCAGTGGAGCATATGTTAAGTTGTACATGTACTAGCAGTTACATGTATAAATTAAACACTCATGAAAATGAACGTTGTTCATTTTCTATGTCCTGGCTGCCCGTGATGCTACTGTGTAATACCACAGCTAGAAATGTTTCAGTCAGGGAGGCAACCAAGAAACCAAAGTTTTGATCATTTCTGCAAAGTGAGAAAGTAAAAAATGTGATGGACATTATCGGACAATGCATGTAGCACTTTTCAAGACAAACTTTGGAGTTGCTAAAAAGGTTCGAAATCAATGATACAGGCATTGATTATCACCAACAGAACTGAAGTTCAACGTGACTGTCAATCTATCCAATATATGACTATTAATGTTGACAGGTGTCTATGTATGTACATAATGTATACATGCAAAATAACCAAGATTGAAAATGCCCCATTGCAAACAATCCAGGTGATGTAAACATTCCAGTATTAACATTCAATCATAGAGAATTAAGCACAAACATTTATGGAATACTCAAATCCAGGAAGCATGACTTACAGACTTGCCTAGAACTTTTCATTCAGACGAGCCCCATACATGTATGTCACGCACATATCCGATATCCAAGCAACTGCACAACACAATGCAAGATTTAATTCCACAGATATTTTTCAGTCGGGGATGCAATCATAACGAGTCACATATGTCTTGCCCATACAACCTACCTGCCTGGCCAATCTCGTAGATGGTCTCCCCTTGTCCATCGTCTAATCTCTGCTTCAGTTGCTTCTGTAGAAGGTCAAACATCTCCGTACTTGGACTTACTAGTATGTTCTGAAGACAAGAAACCATATGTGACACAGACGGCTGTAAATGAGTCTGTACAGTACAAGTTATACAGGTAGTCAGCTCTGGAAATCACAAATATTGTTACACATTTTTCAATATGTATGTACGAAATAGTGTTATATAACAGCAAGTTCTGTGGGTCAGAAACTTTTAAATTATTTGTTTTTGTTTTTCCAGTCCTGTTACAACAAGGATGGGGTTATCAGGGAATCATGTACATGTAGCTAGTCCTTGCAACCTTGTCACAAGGGTTGACTGTAGTCACACTAGCAGTGTTTTCCCTAATGGTTGGAAATGTTGTGGTGTCATTACTTGGACACTCAAAAACCTGTTCAACATTGCGAATCAGCACAGTGGTTAGAAATAGAATGAAACCAAAGAGAGTTTGTTTTTGGTTTGGTTTCTTAAAACATCAACTTCCAGTTTCAGCCAAATATGAATAAAAAACTATGGAGATACACAAGTGAATATTTTCAGTCCAACAAAAAAAGACACAGATTTGGCATTTACTAGCAAAGAAATGGTACATTTCTGTAAATTATTCTGCACCCACTACAAGGCAAAAGAACTGAAGACAGACTGCCCTCCATGTAGAATTCTTTGAACTTTGAAATACTGATGGGCAGTGATGTACATGTGACAAGAGTGACATTTCTGAGGGGGCACATAACAGGTGCACACAAATTTTCAGTAAGGAAATTGAATATGGCTCTTACATGTACAGGCTGTGTTCATTCAAAGATTTCAAGGGGGGGCACTCAAGGGGTACAGACTTCTGCTTGGAGGACATGTGTCTCTCCCCCTCCCACAACAACAATTGATGTTTGGAGAAGCCTGTCACCAAGCCTGTCTCTTGTAACATTTTGGTGATATTCTACATTAGATTTACGTTACATCTAAACCCCTCCCCCCAAACAGTTATGCTTCCTGTTTCTCAGCCTACCCTGTTTTGACAGGGAGAGCATAGGGTTTAACCCTAACATTCCCCATCCCATCAATTTACAACAGAGTTTGTTGAAATTTGATTGGTTGAGCTACGTGTACATATGAAACTTACTACAGAAAGTGTTGGGTTATGACAGGATGAGTACTGTACAGATGCAGTAACAGTGTTGGGTTTGGACTGAGTGGGTATGGTTGGTATTGCCCAGTACTTGCTGCTGGGTGTTTGATAAATAATGCTGCTGGTATGTGTGTGCCAGTAAACAATGGTGGTCATTTGGTCATGTACCTGTACTTAAGGAGTAGAATAAATTGCTCAAGTGTGTTTGGTGACCTTGCTTTTTTCTGAGAAGTCACAGATAAAACAAAGACATTTGTGCCCCCTCCCCAATGAAATGCAGTTGTTGGATCTTTAAAGGATGAGTACACTGTGTCCCAATTCTTTATACAAAGTATATAACCAAGAATCCCCACTCAGCCAAAATCCAACAGTTTAGTGCCTGTTGGAGTTTGTTGGGCTGAGTACTGATACAGCAAGTGGACTGCCGAAATCCGGCAGGTTGAGTACATACACCCTACCCAGCAGCGAAAGGGATTTGGAGTATGACAGGTTGAGTCAGCCTTCTAGAAAAAATGCTGAGGGCGTTAAGGTTAATGGTGGTAAAATGTTGGTAAAATGTGAAATCAGATGTAAAGAAAAGAGACACACCTTATATGTGGTGCAAAGAGGTTTAACTTATTTACAATGCACTCAACTTGTACCCTTTACAATGTTGTTCATTTCCTTTGAAACTAGTGTCACCTGACCTCTCTTGCTGTTTTTATTTTTAACCAGTTAACAATAAGCCGCACACTGAATCAGCATAAAAGAGTGTCCAAAAATTCTTTCCTGCCTATCTACCCTGTATTCAGAAACCATGTAATACACATGTAGGAAGCAGAACTGTTTTCATCTTTTACCAAAGAATTTTCACCTTTTTGGACAAGCCATTCACAAGGTCCACCTCGCCATTGGTCAGATCGCAGCTCTCGGGTGCAAACAGATGGGCACCCTCGGGCATGTCGGGGGACGTTGGGGACTTGAGGTTGTCCTGGCTGGGTGAGTCTGGGAGGAAGTTGGTGACGATTGCAGCACACATCTTTATAAGTTTGTCGGTCTGGGACTCTGAACAGAAGAGAGCAGATTACTGGGAGGAAAAAAATCACTTGATCAGATCAATTCCCGGATAATTCTTGATAATTCTTGATACTGGCAAAGACAGCTCTTTAGAGTCTCTGAGCTCATGTTGTCAACAGGGCTCTTCTCTTTCCCTATTAAACATAACAGTAATAATGGAAATACTGTGTTCAAATGCACTTTCCAGTGGTTAATTAACCCTCCTGTACAAACATCCATTCTAGAAAAAGTTGTTGTCTCAGACAGAAATCAGTCAAGTGAGCGCTCTTCAACAGTTTAGAGTCACCTTGCCTGCATAGAGCATATAACATAATTGATTGGCTGTGACTGTTGGTAGCTGTGCTTTGGCTGTGACCTGCTTAATTGTCTCTTGACTGAATCTGACTGGTCACAGCATCAACCAGAATTAGGACTTGACTATGGGACTAGCTTGTGTATAAAGTGAAGTGGGGGAAGTGAAAGGAATTTTTGACTGTGATTTATACAACTGAAATGGGTTACTTAAAACTTGATACAAAATACAAGTGTACCTGTACACCACTTAAATTCCAAGATATTAAAATTACAAATTCAAATCAGAACTACATCCACAGGTCATCACTAAATAGAAGTGTTGAGTAAGATTCAATTAAACAATGGCTATAAAATAAACAGTTATCTGAAAGGTCAAGCTGTGGCTCTCCTCAAGTGGCAGGTTATTCAATGAACCTCTACATGTAGCTGGACCAAAAGACGGCCCAATTTCCTTTGGTCAGCACTGAACTTCATCACTGCACAAAGAACTAGGAAATGAAATGCAAAAAATAAACGCTCCCAACCAATATGGCTCTTTTCAAGCGATGATGGAGGTGCTCCTGCTTGAGGCAGATACACCTGTAGGTATAGGAAAGTGTATTCAATAGCCTGATTTGATGGAAGCTCTACTCAAGGTGGTTGGGTGATTAAGAATAAGGCCATTCTTCTGAACGGAACCCCAGACCTACATGTACCCAGTACTGAGGGTTCACTCATGTAATTGATCGTACATGCTACATGTACATACCAGCTACAGAACAGATGTACACCCTCTGTACATGTACGGTATCATACATGCATACATACTGGACCACACTTGAAAGAGTAAACAGAAAAGCAGCCAAAACAACCAAAATACAGAAAACCTGTTGCTAGACATTTCAACCACCCTGGCCATTCCCTGATACACCAGTGCACAGGCTGATCTTTGATAAGGGCACAAAAGGCCAGGCTGGAAGAAGGAAGTAAATGTATGAAACATGGTCCATGAACCAAACAGCCCTGACCAAGCCCAAGGGATTGTGGTTTCTTGTCTGTCAGGATTAGCCTGTGATTCACCACTTAAACTTTGTTTAAGTGCTCCCCAAATTTCTTAGGACCCTTTTGAGAGGGCATAGGGCTGACACAGTATGTCTGTCTGCATTGCACCTGGTGATGCAGTTGCTGTGATAAAAGCTTACTAGCTGCACATCTTTGGCATGCAGGTTAGTCATTAACCCTGATCATGTGTCACAATATGAAATAACAAACATAAGTGACAGGTAAATCCTGCTGAATCGCAACAGCATTTTACAACCCAGTTATAAAGTTCTAAACTTGTTTAGGTTGCTACATGTATATCAGCAATGTCCAAACAACCCCAAGTTCAGGCACAACGCCACAGCTACCCACCAATTACCAAAAGAAAATAAGACAACTTGCCAAAGATCATTTCTTTGACTTCAACTTTTTTTTAGACAAGTCCACGTGAGACAATGACACAAGTCTTGGTACTCGTAACAACTTCAAAAATGTATCATGTAAGATCAACTTTGACACAATCCAAGTTTTGATCCTTGATGAAGAAATTAAAATATGTGATTTAAAACATCATGTAAATCATCTTTTTTTTTTTAAAGAGAGCTGAAACATCAAAAAAGACTCATCTGAAGCTAACCAGAATTACAAGCACAACAGATGCTAGAGTTTTAGAAAACACAGAAAATGCAATCATAAATCTTTGTATCTACAAGTCCAATGTGATTGATGTTGTAGTTAACCTTTATTTACCCTGAATAGGGGTCTGCGCATGGCAGTTAGTGACTGCAAAATGGTTGTGATAGACCCATATGCTGTAGTTTTGGTATTGGTGTTTTGTTTGGCTGGAAACCTTCATGCATCATCCCCAATCCATTTTTCTGTGCTCCATAGTTTAAGCTTTGGAGAGGTCATCTAGCCCTCTAGAAAGTCATTATGTCCAGGCTCTACTTTCTTAAGACCTCTTTTGTGGGTATTGGTTATTACTGCAGTAACTGCAGGGGTAATTTTGCATAACCTTTGTGATAGGACAAACATTGACCTATAGCATGTCTTCTCCCTCCTCACAATGCTAACTTGCTCTAACAATAACAGGAACTCAGCCCAGTGGAACTTGTGACTTTTTGAAGGGTCCAGGAGGGTTAGGGTATTAATTTGTACTGGGGCAAATAAAGTGGAAGGAATTTTTGACTGTTACAGCAAAAGGAAGGTTAATATAAACTGACTGCATACATTTCACTGTGAAAGATTCTTAAACATGGACCAATGACTTACTCATGGAACTCTGTTATCAGATAATCTAGATTATTGAATGCAAAGAAAAACGAAAATGTAGAATCATCCTAAGTAACCTTTTTACTCCAACTATAACCTTTCACCTGAAACAATTACTGTACATAGCAAGGTGCACACGTAACAACAAAAGTGGACCTGGGAACATGAATGGGTGGCGTATGACTGTCTACCACTAATCCCAACTGTCATCAAGTGCTGAATACATGTATTTACAAGAGTTGGCTCAAATCATGAGCAACAGCACACAGGCATGATACATATTTTAAATTTATTTAGACAAAACACACGAAAAAGATGAACAAAAAACATTGACTTTATTTATAATCATTACTTTTCAGTCACGTCAGTGGGTCCCTACAGAGGTTTTAAATACAATTAGGCAAAGTTAGAACTTAAGGGCTTCAATCTGTATCACAAGGATACGTCAGGCTAGAGTAAGCCTTCTGTCCATTCATTCTAACTAAATTAACCCTAACTGCCAAGCATATTGTTTGGCTTACACTACACAGTACTACAAAATACTAAGTAGTAGTCTGAGCCCTAAGGACCTAGTGCTACAGATTACTACTTCTGGCTAGGTTACTTGCATTGTTACTTGTACAGAGAATAAAGCCATGCATTCATTGTGCCACAGCACTGTAAGGTACGTTGTCTTATCTATTGTATCTTATGGCTTCACAGAACAATAAAGTCATGTCCTCTTACAAGCGACAGCACTCAGTACTACATTTTACTACAAGTAGTAATTTGTAGTATTATGTAGGGTTACGGTTAAAATGACAACAAACAGCCTCAACAGCACCAGCAATGCATAACCTCTATTGTTATTACAGTTATTTCTTCTAATCCTTGCCTCTGGAGGATTTTTAAGGGAAGTAAAGTCCAGCACAACAATGTTCTAGACCAAGTTCACTGTCCCAGGCTAATTGTCTGCTGCCAATGGCTCAAACTTTGGTCATCATTTAAAATTTGTCAGTTGGTGTCAATTAGAAATTTCCCAAATAAACTCACCAAAAGATCAAAGTGGCGTTCTTACAGTTGATAAACTTGAAGTTCAAAACAACCGTTGAATAGCAGAGAGCAAAAGTGTATCAGGACTGTGATGTCAACTTCAGAATTCAGTCTGAACAATCACTGAAGGCAGGGTACCACTGGAGTTGTTTCGTTGTTAGTTCCAATAAATTCTTCCAAAATAGGCCTACTCCATCAAATCAGCATCACATCATGCCCATGTCAACTGCAGCTCAAGGCCATGACCAGGATGACATATCTACACCTTCAAACACTCATTGTGGTGAGACCATGGAGGTACTGGCACCATGAACACAGTGTACTATTACGAGGCAAAGCAAATGTAACAGCATAAATCTGTCAACAAACAGACTGGCAGAAAATGTGGTAACTAGTATTCAGAACAAACTAAAATTTAAAAAAAGTAAAAATACCTAATGTGCACCGTTAACTTAATTTGGTTGCGCTATGTCCGTGATAATCTGGCTTTCGGTAACAGAAGCATCATCGGTTTGAGCCTTAAACTGTCATCGAAGTCTCCTATATCTATCCATCAGATGATGCAACTCATTGAAACAATCAACATGCCCGGGGACAGGTCGTAATTGGAAGGATATTCCGGTGAGTAAACGCAGGAAAGAGTGACTTTTTGAGCCAGATTGTGCAGCTCTCTGTACTGTTGTGTGAACGTGCAATACTTGGCAATATCAAAAGATCCATTGAACCTCAGGAGGGAAACCTGTATCCTCACAGTTGGTGTTGTAAGAATCTTCTTGAAAATGAAAAGCAAGTTAATATTTGATACCCATGAAATGATTTTCTCGTAGTTTTATAATTCTTTGGGTTTTTTGAAAATGCTGTAGAAATCTATGATATTTTATTACATTCGAGATTTATTTTTGCGAGTTTATTCCCCCTCCTTTCAATTAATGGTACGGCCTTCTGTGATTTTAAAAGGTCAACTCATGGAGGCGCTATGACATATTCATAAGGTTTTCAAATCACGGCTTCGTTCTGTTTCAGCTTTGTCTCTGAAAATTAAACTCCCTTAAGCTTTAACGTTCAAACAAAATGAATCTTAATCCAACCCTGTGATCGATGGTGTACAATTTAATGCTTCTTAAGCAGAGTATGACGTGTTTTATTTAATTGAAACTGCAAAGTTCGGGGAGTTTTAAAAATCATACTAGGCCAAAAGGTTAAACCCAGATTTGAAAAACACTAAGCGCAACTAGGGGAGGTACGGTAATGATGAAGAGTTGTGTAATACGCAGAACTAAATGAATTGGAACCTTGGCCACATTCTAGTTTGTTTTTCACAAGCATGTGAAATTTCCGACCTTTATTTGATATTCAGTCCTTTAAATGATGTACGTTTATGTGCAAATACAACGGTAAATTCAGAAAGGCTGCGCAATTTCTGCAGTTTAGGGGTACAGTTCTCATACAGAAATAACATACTGCACATAATCTATTCCAAAGTAGTA